CATAGAAGTATATGAAGGTGGAAAAATATTCTGCAATTTTAAAATTACAAATAATTTTAAATAAATTATTATATATTTTTAAATAAGTCAAAATAAATTATTATTAAACCAAATGTGAGTAATACCCAAAAAATTTAAGAAACCAAGTTTAAAAATAATTTGAATATTTTAAAAATGGGGCGGACAAATTTGAGGTATGACACATATTAGCTTTCACCAGTGTTTAGAGGTGTAAAGCTTACCACATGCTTATCACTTTGCTTGAAGTTGGTTTTATCTCTCATAAGCGACTTATATTGGTTCCTTCATGAGGTTTTCGCGCCATGGATTCGGTCTTTTGCATCACATGGCTTCTTTTTAACATTTCTCATCTCCCCCCTTGATGTAAGACTCTGCTCACCGCACTTCCTCTGTCAAAGACGTTGGAGGCCTTTAGGCGAGGGATTCGTTGAAGTTTCTCGCCCTAAGTCCATTCTGAAATTCTCCTACGAACAATTTTTAGTTTGGATGGACTATATTTATTATATCTTCGTTAAAGTGGGAAAGGTACTCCCATAATGTCTCTAATGGGACCTGAAGTATATTGAACAGACCGGTGGCGATCAACTTATGGTGCCTTGTTGCAGCGAATTGGTGGACTAGTTTCTTCATCAAGTCTTGATAGTTGGTGATGGAGATCTTATGGAGGCCCACATACCATATCAAGGTTGCATCCCTAAAGGTGTCAGACAATAGCTTACAGTTCTAGGAATCAGGTGTCTCAATGATGGTCATCTGAGGGTTGATGGAGATCGTGTGCTCATACGGGTCGTTGCACCCCACGAACTTAGTCTATGATGGTTATTTAATGTTTTATAAGATTGGCGCCTCCCATATCTCGTTTGATAGAGGCTGGGGATCTAACACTTCTAGTTCATCCACCATGTTTATTTCTTGTTGGCGCTGCTAAATATGAAGAACATTCTCTTCCAATGTTTGGTTATGACAACGGAGATCGTCCATAGTGATGCGCTTCTCCGCTATGACATTTTCCCCTCCTTCATAATCTTTGAGGATCAGAGTAGTTGTCTTCTTGTTCACCATGATATGGAATAAGCGGAAAGACAATACTCTTGTTGAATGCAGTGGGGGTAGCTCAGGTCAATTTTACCGAGGTCCTACGGTGGGCAATAAAAGTACTTTCTAAAAGTATAAACTCTTGATAATCCCTGGTGGATAAGGATTGTCAGAGACTTTAAGGTTGTTGTAGGGTTGAGAGCTAACTCACGTTAGGTGAGAAGCTATTGTATCTATTTGTCTCTATGTGGTATTGGTCCTCCCTTCAGTATGATGATACTAAGGTATTTATAGCCCAAGGGTATGAAACCAGATATTCCTATAATTTTAAAATTACACCAAGGTTGGGTGGTTGATTCCCTAAAATCCAGGTGTAGTTAAGTCTCATGACTTTCTATATAACTTTTGTTGAACTAAAATACGCTCTACATACAATCACACATTATATACGAAGAAACTGGAGGTTCGAGTGACACATCTAGACAAGGGTGCTCGAACAAAAATGGGCATGCTCGAACTAGTGAAAGGACAATTTGGAAAGAACAAAGAACCAAAATATGTTACTAGCCACATCTTCAGAGATCTCTCTAAACTTTACCACTGCAATTTTATTCTTATAAGCAAAACATATGGTATGTTGTAAAATATGGAATTTAAATTCTATAATTGAAATGTATAATTGTGATATTTTACATGTTTTACTACCATTAGATTAAAAAATAAAAGGTAAAGAAAACATTAAAAAGGATGAGTAACACTAAGGTGGTTAGTCCAGACAACATACCTATTAAAATAAGAAAAGTTCTTAAAGACATGAGTATTAAGTGACTCACCAAATTATTTAATGAAACTATGAGGTCAAAGCAAATGTTAAATGAATGTATCAGAAGAACTTTAATTCCAATCTATAAGAGCAAATGAGATATACAATATTGTGCAAATTATAAAAGGATTAAACTTATGAGTCATGTCATGAAGTTATGGACAAGAGCAATTTAATGGAGATTAAGAAAAGAGACTCAAGTTACTTAGAATCAATTGGATTTTATGCCTAGAAGGTTGACCATGAAAGCGATCTATCTACTACGATATGTGATGGAGCGCTATCAAATGAATTAACAATACTTGCACTTAATTTTTATTGACTTAGAGAAGGCATATGATAAAATGCCTAAAGATATTTTGTGAAAAATCCTAGAAAAGAAAGGGGTTATGACTGCATATATTCGAGTTATCCAAGATACGTATGAAGAGATATCGACTAGTGTGTGGATACAAGGTGGCAGGACAGACGGTTTCTCTTTTACATTAGTTTGCATCAAGGTTTAACTTTAAACACATACATTTTTGCCTTAAATTTGAATGTACTCGTGGAACACATCCAAGATCGCACCGAAATGCATGTTTTTTGTAGATGATATAATCTGACTTGGAGAGTCAAAGGGAAATTTAACGAGAGGTTAAAGAGGTTGAGACATGTTTTATAAATGCATAAGCCTAAGCAGAAGTACGATGAAGTATATAGAATATAAGTTTAATAAAAGAAGAAATGTTTCTAATCTATAGGTGAAAGTTGGATACCATATCATTCTTCAAGTCACATGGTTTAAATATCTTAGGTCTGTAACATAGAAGGGATGTACACCATTGAATTCAAACTGGGTGGCTGAAATGGAGGAGGGATTTCATAGTTTTATGTAATACAAATGTACCGCTTGAATTGGAGGAATTTTTTTATCAAATTGTGGTAAGACCTACGGTGTTGCACGAACAAAATATTAGACAGTTAAGAATCAAAACGAAAATAAAGTTTGTGTAGTAGATATGAGGATGTTATGTTGTATGTGTGGTAAGACTAAACAGGATAAAATTAGAAATTCAAATATTATTAAGAGTGTTGGGGTAGCTCATATAGTAAAGAAGATGGTGAAAAATAGACTTGGATGATTTCAACATGTAGAAAAAAGACTTGTAGATTTTGTGGTAGTAAGGAGAGTAGACCAGATAAAGAAGTCAAACAATTAGAAGAAGTGGAAGAAAGAAATGTCTCAAGATTAAACGATTTGGATAGAAGTATAACTTTAAATAGAATATTATAGTAAAAGTTGACTCATGTAACCGATCACACTTAGTGGAATAAAATTTAATTATTGTTATTATAGTCGTAGAATCCGAACACACTCAAATTGAGCTTGTTCAATCCTTATGAAATAAAATGAATTTCCAATAGAATCCGAATGAGTAGATTGTACATATATATTATTAAATTTGGGATGTATAGTCTAAATTGCACCGACGGTTTTGATAGATTAGAATGCACAAAAAATTGTATAATTTAATGTGTTCGATACATTTTTATTTCATGACAAAAATAACTTCCATTTATACCTAGTCAAAACGAACTCAAGCCTAACTGAAGTTTACCACATCAAAGAAACTCCTAATTCATTTAAGATTAATGTCAATGTTACACTATTTAATTTGAAAGACCAGCATGACTAAAAGAATGGACATCTCAACCATTGTGATACAAAAACGAAGCTCAATGTTGAATATCATCATTCGTCGATATATGTTTGATTTACCAACATGTGAGAATCATGTTCTACATATATATGTTCATTTTGTCTGTTTAAACTTGATTCATCCCATAATATTTAATGAAATTGCAACATATATGGTTGAACTCTGTAAAGAAAATGTCGTGTCTTTCATGATTTTTGTATATGAAGACTGAAAATTGCAACATATATGGTTGAACTCGGTAAGGAAAATATCGTGTCTTTCATGATTTTTGTATATGAAGACTGAAAGCCAGAAAAAGATATCATATGCTAGTTAATTCTAATATATCATTCTCCAGTAACGATCATGGCAATTTGGGCAGTGTCACTACATGTTTATTCTGAATAAACAGTATTTGGATGGCATCCCCTAGATACCATACGATGGTCAGCTTTGCAGCAATACTTGATCACGTGTGGCAAACAAAACCGTAAAGGGAGTTGATGATGTGGTTCTGTATTTTTGAGGAGGACTTCTTTTTCCACCCTATAATTTTCTAGTGCACCACACAAAATGGACACACCAACTAGTGCACCACACAAAATGGACACACCAAGATTTAATAAAATATAGGTTGAAATCGAAAATACATTTACAGTTTGCAAGTGCACCACACAAAATGGACACACCAAGATTTGATAAAATATAGGTTAAAATCGAAAATACATTTACAGTTTGCAACAGAAATTATATTTCCAGTTCTGTTTATGCCTTTTGAATAAGGTAAAACCATATTTTATTTGTTTGTGTGTGATACATGATGCACACCAAAGAAAAAAATTTCCTTTTTGAGAGATGAACAAAGGGGTTAATGTCTCGATGATAATTGGAAAGTTCGGAACTAAACATGAAACATACATCCATTCTCGATTCATTCTCATGTCAAATGATTGCATTTCCATTGCATTATTTATTATCCATGCAAACAAAATAAGCCGACACAAATTCGAAGCATTTTGTACTATCAATATTAAATGCCAGAACTGTTCAAACTTGGTGGGGTGTGGCATTCTTAAATCCCACTTCTCATAATCAAGTACAACAGTATATATATGAATATTAGAAAAATTAGCCAACTAATCAACCAAACCAAAACATCACGTGTCATTTGAGTCATAAAATTAGACATTCAACATTGAATGTAAGAAAATGAACAAAGCATTCCAAACCAATTTACAGATTGAACTCAACCATATCAGCCAAGAAAATAATTATGCATGTTGTACAATCGAGCACACTCAAAATTCTAATAATTCTAATAGACAAATTAAATAGGTTTCAGAAGATCTTAGGAAGTATCAAAACAAAACCACGTTCAAACGCTAATTCCTATCACAAATTAGACAAACGCACTCCACCCAGCAAACTGCAAGCCCCTTTTATATAAGATCAGCAACATTCATTGGCATCTCATCAATCTGGGTACTGTAATATTGCTCAATATCTCTCAAGATCTTGATATCGTCGCTTTTAACAAAATTTATTGCAACACCCTGTGAAACCAAAGAGCAGGTAACCAAATCAGAGCATGAGAGTACTATAAGACATGGACATTTGTAATATTGTAAAACGAAGTTTCTGATATGAAAATCGGACTGACTACTTGAGTAAAGAAACATTAATTCAACTAATTCAAACATTCTCAATACCTTTCGCCCAAAACGTCCAGAACGACCAATCCGATGAATGTACAGCTCTCGATTATTTGGAAGGTCATAATTAATAACTAGAGAAACCTGATGAAAGAAGCAATTGCATGATCAGTGTCAACAATTCAAAAGAACTAATGCAGGAATTTCTAAAATTTGTTACTATATTTTAGTGCAACCCTGCGCAATAGACAAACGCAAACAGGCCGTACAATTAATACCAAAATCATCAAATATTCAGCCAAGAAAAAGCATAGCTGCGGAGTTAGAATTACAATAACCGATTGGAATGCTTGTGCCCAACAATTTCTGAATACTATTTATTGTTGCCAGTCTAAACAGTTGTGATATTCCATGTTGTAACAAGAATATTAGTCAACTTCTATTCAGGTCAGCAATTATTTTTAATACTTTCAACTGTATTTTAGGTGAGTAATTGAAAAACGTGGTTTCCAACAAACGTGATTTTGTAAATTTGATTAGATTAAAATTTAGTTTTAAGCGAAGTTACTTAGGATTGGATATTTTTTACAGTAAAGATTAGTTTCATGTAAAACTTGGATGTGTATTTTTCAACCTAATGCAAAAGCTAGTTTTTATCACTTCTGGTCTAACTAGATATTTGACAAGTTACTTAGGATTGGATATCTTTTACAGTAAAAACAAGTTTCATGTAAAACTTGGGTGTGTATGTTTCAACCTAGTTTATATCACTTTTGGCCTGACTAGATATTTGACAAGAAAATTAATTTTAATTCAAAATAATCAAACATCTTGAATTTTTACTACGTCAAACAGCAATTGACGGGAGACAAGATCAACTGTAACCCTTCATCATGAACCCAAACACATGCAAAGAAACAAGAACACAAACTAAGCAATAGAAACAAAGACATGACTCATGACATAATAGAGAGATAGAGAGAGAGATGTGTTTCTTAGTCCATACAGTATCTTATATTTAACTCATACTTAGGCAACATGAATTCATCATATTTTAGAGGCACAAATAATAAAAATAATAGAACACAGACGGGTTGAATGACATGCCTGTTGTACATCAAGGCCACGAGCCCAAACATCAGTTGTTATCAATACTCGGGTTGTTCCACCACGAAATTCTCCCATAATTGCATCTCTTTCTTTTTGAGGCATGTCACCGTGCATTGATGAGACGGTGAAATTATTGTTACGCATTTTTTCAGTTAACCAGTCCACCTGTTCAAAGAGATATATATTAAATATACTGCTTATAATGATAAGATAGAAATTGTAAACTGATCACAAAGAGCAAATACAGAGTACACAATCCACTAATCAACCATACTGATCCTACAAAATTTTGATAATTTTCTTTTACCTTTCGCTTGGTGTTACAGAATATAACAGCTTGAGTGATGGTGAGAGTATCATAAAGATCACACAGAGTATCAAACTTCCAATCCTCCTTTTCAACCGCAACAAAAAATTGCTTGATGCCCTGTAATTAGAGGGAAGGGTTATGGCATCAATATCCAGGTAAATATCAAAAAGCACAAGGACAATGAAAGCAATTGCAAACCTCCAATGTCAATTCATCACGTTTTACAAGGATCCTCACTGGATCTGTCATAAACTTGTTTGTCATCTCCAGAATTTCATGAGGTAGCGTAGCAGAAATCAAGCAAACCTACACAGTAAAAACTAAACAACTCAGGAACAACATAAGTTTGGAAATAAAACAGACAAGAATGATTCACAAGTTTAAAACAAGAGTGAAACAAACATCACACCAGTAACTACGATCAAGGACCCAAAAGATGCATCCACTTAGGTTATAAAATGAGATAAAATTTCAGATAATTTTCCAACATAAGTTTGAAATTAAAATAAAGACGAGATTCATAAAAACTGTATCAGAATCTTATCACTGAAGGATGTGCTTCATTCAAGAACACAAAAGTAAAATGATCACTGGTAGCAGCTTATATTATGAAAAGAAAGAAGCAGCTTATATTATGAAAAGAAAGAAGCAGCTATTTTTTAACCAAAAAAAGGAGCAGTTTCATTCATTGGTCAAAGCATTAACTTAATCCCTTCATGTGATGTAAATCTAATTATCAAACAGTAACACTGCACACCTCTTATATCCCTATTTAATAGGGTTATTTGTATGAATTAAAATTGGTATGTCTAAAATTCAACAGATATTATTCATTGCCATTGTCAAACATTAAACAATTGTGAAGTCTACTTACAAATATCTAACTAGCCATGTGGACCTTAGTTTGTTTTAATTTAAGCATATATTAAGATTTAGATTGCAGAAATTCCATTCCAAACACAATGAGGAAGATGAGGGCATCAGAGTAAGGAGAACCTGAAGATCTGGTGGGAGATATCTATACACATCATAAATCTGATCTTTAAATCCTCTACTCAACATTTCATCAGATTCATCCTGTAAACAAAAAGAAAAATATATGATAACCCTTGAAACATGACAACAAAAAAGAAGAAAAGTACAATCAAGCATTGGCAAGTAGAAGCAATTAATTACCAGAACTAGTAACTTGATAGCTCTTGTGCGCAATGTTCTCCTTTTGATCATATCACAGACTCGCCCAGGAGTTCCAGACACCACATGAACTCCATGCTCAAGCTTCCTTATATCTTCTCCAACACTTTTGCCTCCAATGCAAGCATGCGCTTGTATATTAATATAATCTCCAATAGCCAATATAACTTTTTCAGTCTGTGTAGCCAATTCTCTTGTTGGAGACACAATTAAAGCTTGCACCCTGTTCAGAAATTGCAAAATTGGCCTCACAAATTAATAAATGCAAGTACTTTGTTCTTAGCAAACCACAAATCTTTAAGATTATGAATTTACCGAAAGGTTAAAAAAATGTCAGGATGGGAAAACCAGAAACATCAAATTTTCCATTTACAAACTAAGAGAACTACATCAGAAGATTGATAACGGTATATACAACAATGAATAGTAATCATTCTATCAAGTTCATTTCATAAAATAATCATATCATTGCCTACAATATTCACATCAAATTATTTAAAAAAATAAAACATATCTGATTATCTCTAAAGCAAGCAACTTAATAACCATTCATAACGAACCAAAAGTGGGTATTAATATGCACTTATTACAAATCATCAATTTCTTCAGTTAGCGGTCTACTCCCACTAGAGTATCCAAATTCAAAACTACACCCTTGAAAACACCTCATCCAAAACATATCAAATCCTTTAGAAGACAATGCCCCTCTTTAAGCTTTCCCATGTTTCTAGATTTTTTTTTTTTCAAATTCGCATTACCCAATATCACATAAACATCAAACAAAATTCAAAAAACTCGATCCTTAATTAATTACCTCGAATAAAAATTCCTACATCAAAAAACCCAAATCAAGAAATCCGAACCTCAAATAACTCTTCCAAATTACCCCTAAAAAAACCCTAATCAAGATATTCAACCTCAGATAGCTCTAAACTAATATCCTATCTTCCAATTGCTTATCCAAACAAATCAATATAACAAAAACAGTAAACAAGACGAAAGAAACTCACTCTCTGACGGACGTATCAACAACCTGGCAAACGGTAAGCGCAATCATGGACGTTTTTCCAGTTCCAGATTGCGCCTGAGCAATAACATCACGTCCCTGAATGATAGGCGCAACGGCACGCTGTTGAATCGCAGACGGTTTCTCGAAACCGTATGCGTAGATTCCACGCAGCAAATCCTCTTTTATCCCCATCCCTTCGAACGTTGCAATCGCCTTCACACCTTCCGTCGTCTCAAAGTCCATATCCTCATTGGAGATAACCGTTCGCCGACGATTCGCCGGCACCACAGAAGTTGTCGCCATCGCCGCCGAGCTGGGTTAGGTTGAGGAGAGCAGGTAGAAGGGGAAAGTTGGGTCTTTGATTTTTGAGAGACTCGGTTTTTTTCTGAACCCTAGAAAGTAAAAAAAGGATAATTTTTTTATAATATGGTTTCAACTCAAAACTAAATCAAATCTATCATCCTAACTTATATTAATATTTAGTTTTTTTTTTCGTGTGTGATTTAGTGTAAAGGCTTTGATGTTGAGGATGCGTTCTTTTCTGGATCTCAGATTTAAATTTATTAAAAAAAATATTTAGTTTTTTCTTTCAAATTTTATTTTTTTATTTATAATTTTGATTTATTCAAGTTAAATTTTGATCATAATTTGATTTTAATATCAAAACATATATACATGTTTTTAAATTAATATTACAATCAAATATAAATTAATTTTAAGAAATGAAATATAAATTAATTTCATTTAAATTTTTAATTGAAATTAAATAAGAAAAAATGTCTATTAATTTTATTGAAACTTTTTTTAATAAATTTACCATTCACAACCATTCTTTTTTACCTGAATAAAAAATAATAATATTAACCATAGTGCCTATGAATATTTTGGTAGCCTATGATTTTTCCTCTTGAGCTTAAGTCCTCCTTCTCAAAAAAAAAAGTGAGAATATTGAAATATGGCTTATCATGCCTTGTTTTGTTTAACATATGTTCATTTATTATAAATATATAAATATATAAATATCTAGAAAATCCATATTTAACCCCATTAATAAAAGTTTAAATTAATCTAATATTATAGATAAAAAAAATTTATTGCATTAATCTTGTATTTACATGTATTTAATATTTAATATGGCTGACGTGTCATACTACTATTTTTTCTTATGTTTTTTATTTTTCTTACGTTTTTTATTTTTTATTATCAAACATAATTAATGAATGGTGTAAATCTAATTTGAGTTATTAGTTTTAAAGTATTATTAGAATATTAGTGCATGTTCATAGAATACTGAAAGGTCATTTAAAAATGATAATCCACACAACTTCTCATATCATTATCACCATTGCAGATTTTCGTTTTCTATGTTTGGTATCTTAAAAACCCTAACAGTGCTAATAAAAATTACAACTTCTCATTTTCAAGTTTGAAGTTCTGACTGGTAAATCCTCTTTTCCTTAGATTTTTCTCCAATTTCTCTTCTTCTATTTCTTCACTTCCTCTCTGCAAATTTTGTTTCTGAAATCGGATTTTGTCTCTGCAAATCGGTTGTGTTATGAGATGTGTTGCAGTAAATTTAGTGTGGCTGCTTATATGATTGTTGTAATTACAGTTGTTGTTGTTCTAGATTCGTTGTTGCTGAAACTTGTGTGTTGTGTCGGTTTTGAATTGTTCCAGGATCTCAGTTATAATTGCAGGTGCGGTTGAATGTTGTAGCGTTTCTCACTTTGATGAAGCAAAGTTGCGTTCAATTCTGCAAGTGTGTTGGTGGTGTATTTTTGAGTTGCCATGGATAGTTCAAATTACAAGTTAAGCTTTGTGGATGGTGAATGTTGGATTGTTATGTTCAGTTGAAGTTTTGCAGGTTTAGAATTGGAAGTTTTATGGAGGAAGATTCTCTGTCAAAATTTGAAGAGTGTTATGAGAGAGTGAATTTTTTGTGAGAAATTGAGGAGAAATTTTGAGTGATTGAGAGAGAAATTTTAGAGTGAAATTTGAGAGTTTATTATGGTTTTGTATGTTGAATCCGTGTGAAGTTTCGTGTTGGTTTTTAGATCCTTATTAAGTATCATTGTTATCATTAACATTGTTCAATATAATTTGTTTAATAGTATTGTTAAACAGATTATTGATATTCATTATATGACCAATTTATTTTCTTAATAATTTGAAAAAAAAAGGTATATCTTACTAATGTCTGGAATGTTGTCTAAACCGAATTATTTAATTGATTGAAGTGTTTTTGAATATCAACATCATATATAAATTATGATATTATATAAGTGAATTAGTTTTTTTTTACCTTATCTTATTATATATCTTTATCACTATATATATATATATATATATATATATATATATATATATATATATATATATATATATATATATATATATATATATATATATATATGTCAAAAATATAATCCAAATTATAAAACTACATTATAGTTATTATTTACTTCCTAAAATATACAAAAATATCAATTGCTGACGGAATCAATTTCATTCATACTAATTAATGTTGATAGTATCAATTGCTTATTCCAATGTTTAACTTCCTTACCATCATCACAATTTACCTAAAAAATGCATTGGAAATACAGAACAAATCTTTGGAATTCCTATGGTCAATTTCATTATTTTCTATTCAATTTCATTATTCACTTTAATTGCAATAAAAAATCAAATTATTTTATTGACCATACATATTCATATACATTTATTATATTACATAATAAGAAACACATATTAATTGTAAATTAACTCAAAAATTTTTTTTTTTAATTTATCATTTTAATATATTAATCATATGCATTAATTTTTTGGATATTATACAATTGAATTTGTTTTTTTAATATATATATATATATATATATATATATATATATATATATATATATATATATATATATATATATATATATATATATATATATATATATATATATATATATATATATATATATATATATATATATATATATATATATATATATATATATATATATATATATATATATATATATATATATATATATATATATATATATATATATATATATATATATATATACATTATATTTATTATTTACTTCCTAAAAATATAAAAAATAATAAATAATTTTTAATTATATTAGAAATATTCCTTAAATGAAATTCTTAGTATTATTATTTAACAATTTAATACTAGCGAATAAATTCAAAGATGGACTCTCTTACGATTTTGTTAAAAATTTTACATTATTAAAAAATATTTTATTCATAAATGTATTAATATAAAAATATTTATACTTCACACAATTTTAAAAATATATTTTAAACTTATATTATATTTTTAAAAATTATATTTATAAAGATTATAAATTATCGATAATATAAAAAAACAACTTAATATTTTTGATATATTTTAATTTAGTGTTAGAAATATGAAAATTAAAATTACACATAATAATATATAAATGTATTTTCGTACGGACAATAAATAATATAAAACAATCTATTCACTTTAAAAAATACAAACGTGTATTAATTATGACTGTGAAATAACAAGAAATGTTTCTTTAATTTTTAAATTTAATTTTACATAAATAAGTAATATTTTTAAAGAATTTGTCTTATTAATAGCATTATTATCATTATAAATGTTTTATAAAATTATATTTCATATGAATATCATTATTATTTTTTATCTTAAAATGTTACTATTTATACTAAAAAAAAATTATACAAATATTTTTTTTTATAAAAAAAACATGAGACAATTATAAATGGTGAATAAACAAATTTCTTATGAAATATGTAAAAAAAGAAAATTTACTTTTTATTATGGTTAAATCTTAAAATATATCATCTATTCAATATATTCTAACACTATCATTTAATTTTACGGAATACATTAAAATATTAATTAAGTAATTCAATTTTATTTTGATTTTTCAAATTTATTTTTGATTTAGTATCGCTTTTTTTACATCAATTGAAGAATAAATTTAAACTTTATAAATGATAATTTATAAACGTTAAATGTGAATTTAAACGGAACCCGTGCAATAGTATAAATTTATTACTAGTATTTTTTAAAAGAGATTAATTTATATTCATGGTCGATGTAAAAAATTTTACACCATTAATACATTATAACCATTCAAATATATTATTATAATAAAAATTAAAATAAAAGATAAACATTAAAAATAAATCAATGATTGTAATTTAAAATTTCTTTATACAACCCGTGCATAAGTATTATTCTCCTTATTTAAATTGGTTAAAGTAAAAGTCAATTTCATTTACTAATATATCACTGATGTGCACTTCAAAGATAATAAGGGATGTATCATTTCAAATCATCATATATTCATTTAACTATGTAGTAAAAAGGTAAGATAAATACTATTATTTTTCATATTTTTTATTTTTGTGTTTGTGATTATATAAATAAATAATAGCAATTGCCTCAAGTATTTTAACAACTTTTTTTAAACAAGAGGAAGATATTATTATTCGTTTGGTTTTCTTTCTTCAACCTCCTTTCTAATTTTTGTTTTCTTGAATCCTTCATTGTATAGAAAAAAGTTCAACATCTTCTCATAAGTGTTAATCATCTCAATCCTTATTTTCTAGTAAGTTTTCTAATTGATCCTTTTTGTTTTCTCATTGTACCATGTTTAGTGTGTTTGTCATGTCGAGTAGTGACATTTGAACTCTTAAATGTTAACACCTTAGCAACACCATATAAAAATACAACTCAAACAAGTGTTAGTTTAATTATTGAATAGAAAATTTTTATTGTTTTAAATTAGCAACTGTATGAAGTTACGGTGTCGGACACCTTTTATGATGTCCATATATCTTTCCTCTTGCCAATTGTGCTTATGTGTTTTAATTGTTCATCTTTAAAGAAAATCTTAAGCCTTTGCACTTTCAATTTATTGTAGATAGAATAAGTCTAAATTTTTTGCATGGAAAGCCAGTTTGTTGTCTATTGTGTTAAATTGTAATTCAATGTGTCGAAACTATGTGTCGAAAATATATTTTAGATTTAAATAGATTTGATTTAAGTCTAGAATAAATTAGATTTGATTTAATAACAAAAAGATATTTTGGACTTTGGGCTTTCAAGCAAGTCATTCACAGTATTTTGCAGTTGCAAAGTGAATAAGAAAGTTTTCACAGTTTGTGAGCAGAGAGAAACTCTGCAGAAATTATTTGTTTTGTCTTCTTTTCTTTGTTTGTCTCATAATTACATTGTCATTGTGATAGAAATTCATCATAGACTTTGGTGGATTTCCAACATTTGG